GTTTAGAGTTTAGGGTTTAGGGTATACTGGTTTGGCTGCTGGGGGGGCAGTGGCAGCAGCCCTTAATGCCGCAGCAAACGTCATCTCTTAAGTAAATCTCTTTGGAGACTTTTCGGGCTTTTCCCTTTTTGTTGATTTTGAAAAAAGTCAACACCGGCACTTCCCCCTCCATTGCAAACCCTAAACCCTAAACCCTAAACCCTAAACCCTAAACCCTAAACCCTGAGCCGTGGGCGCTGGGAGCCTGTTTGGCGGGGGTTGCATTGGGTCTTTTGCAATTAAATGGACCACAAATGAATTAAAAAGGAAACAAATAATAAATAAATTGCAAATAATACATAAATAAATTATAAATTATTGATAAAGTAATTAATTGTTCTCCTTTTCCGCTTGCTGCCTTTCGTTCACCGGCTGCTGCTGCTGCTGCTGCTGCTGCTGCTGCTCGAGCGAGAGTGGCGGCAGGAGAACAAAAAGGAAAAAGAAGATCTTGAGGGTTTAGGGTTTAAGGTTTAGGGTTTAAGGTTTAGGGTTTAGGGCTTAGGGCTTGGAGTGTGGGGCCCTCGGGGCTTTGGCGGCTGCAGCCCCAGCATCGATTTCAGGTGTATGTACACCTCAGCACACCAAACTGCAGCGTTTGAAACGCCATTTTATTTAAAGTTAATTTAACTTTAATTTAAATTAGTTTTAAATTTAATTTAAATTTACTTTAAAAGTTTTTATTTTTATTTGTTTCTCATTTTTGGCTTCATTTCCAATCTCCCTCTGCAGCCCGCCGGGCTCTCCGTTGTCTCAGCTCGCTGCAGCAGCTGCAGCGGCAGCAGCAACTGCAGCAGCAGCTGCAGCAGCAACTGCAGCGACAGCTGCAGCTGTAACTTCTGAAGCAACTACAGCAGCAGCTGCGCCAGTGGCCGCAGCTAGCCAGCCACGGCCGCAGCAGCAGCTAGCCACTTGTATGGCATTGTAGCTAGCTAGCTGCAGCTAGCTGCAGCTAGCCAGCTGCAGCTAGCTGCAGCTAGCAGCTAGCTAGCTGCAGCTAGCTGCAGGTAGCTATTAAGGGGCTAGCTGCAGCCCCTTAATAGCTAGCTAGAGAGCTAGCTAGCTGTTTTGCTATAGTTTCTAATACGCAAAGCTAGCCACAGCTAGCCACAGCTAGCCACAGCTAGCCACCGCTATTCATATTTTTGTGCTGAGTCTTAGCTAGCCAAAGGGAGACACACATAGATGTGGCTAGCTGCAGGCAGCTGCAGCTAGCCAAAATCAGATACAGCTAGCCACAGCTGCTTTCGCTATGTGCAGCTAGCCAGGCCAACAGCTGTAGCCAGCTGCAGCTAGCTGTAGCTAGCTGTAGCTGTCGGTAGCTAGCTGTAGCGAGCTGTAGCTAGCTGTAGCGAGCTGCAGCTAGCTGTAGCTAGCTGTAGCTAGCTGTAGCGAGCTGCAGCTAGCTGTAGCGAGCTGTAGCTAGCTGTAGCGAGCTGCAGCTAGCTGTAGCGAGCTGTAGCTAGCTGTAGCTAGCTGTAGCGAGCTGTAGCGAGCTGCAGCTCGTTGTGTCTGACTGTGGCTAGCTGTGGCTAGCTGTGGCTAGCTGTGGTTAGCTGTGGCTAGCTGTAGCTAGCCACAGCTAGCTGTGGCTAGCTGCCGCGCGCGCTGAAGCGTACACACTTTATTTGTATGGTCCTTTAAAACCCTAAACCCTAAACCCTAAACTCTAAACCCTAAACCCTAAACCCTAAACCCTAAAGCTGAAGGGCATACCTGGGGTAAATGGCATTCTCTGCACTTGACTTGTTTATTATTTGCGTTTTAAATTATAAAAGAAATGCCGCATTTGGATTAAATTAAAATTTTTACTTCCAAATTTTATTTTTTATTTTCTCGAGGCCTTCTGCTGTGGAAATGGAGTGTACAGACACCTGACTTTGGGATTTATTTCTTTTCATTTTTTCATTTTTTCATTTTTTTCTTTTTTTCATTTTCATCTTTTTCATTTTTGATTTCTCTTTAATTGTCTGAGGGGTTTATTAAATGCGTCATCTGCGCTGAGACGAGTGCCGTAGGGTTTAGGGTCTAGCGTTTAGGGTTTAGGGTGTGGGGTCTAGGGTTTAGGGTTTAGGGTTTAGAGTTTAGGGTTTTAGGCCAGAGTGAGTCGTTTAGTGAATACAGTTACTTCCAGAGACTTGAGCTTCTCTTTTTTCCGTTTTATTTCCTTGTGTAAGCTTGCGCCTGTGAGGGTTTAGGGTTTAGGGTTTAGGGTTTATTGGCGTTATTTCTGGGGAGCTCAAGTGCGTGTTTTTGAAACATCTTTGAAGAGCAAAAGAGGAAATGCAATTAAAGAAAAAAAACTTTAAAAGTTTTTCGTTAAATTGCATTTTGAAGCCGTTTCCTTTTCTCGAAAAGCAATTCAAATTCTCCCTTTCTTTTATTTTAATTCTTTCCGCCTTTTGCTCTTCAAAGATCCTTCAAAAACTCCCAACTAAGAAGTTTAAGAATAAAAGAAATGAAATTAAATTCAAAAAGAAAAGTCTTTCGACTGTTTCAAACGACCAGGTGTACGTACACCCCGAGCGGCGGCGTTTTGGTGGGACAGCGAAATCGGAAAAGCTGCAAAAGGGGAGGCGGAGTTGAATTTGAGTTTTATTTTTTTAATAAAACTGAAATAAAACATTTTATTGAAATAAACAAGAAAAAACAAACCAAAAAACCCAAACAGCTGCAGACAAGAAATCTGAACAGCAGCAGCAGCAGCAGCAGCAGCAGCAGCAGCGGCTTCCCGCGGTCCAGTGGTCGGCAGCGCCTGCAGCGTGCGATCTTCTTCGGTTGGTTTTACTTGCTTCGAATCAAAAATTAAAACTAAAATACTTAAAAATAAAACAAAAGAATTTTCTAATTGCTGCATTGGTTGGGACTTTGGAGCTGAATCGCTGGCGATCTGCTCGAGTTCTCGTCGGCTGCCGCTGCCGCTGCTGCTGCTGCTGCTCGACCTGCAGCAGCAGCAGCAGCAGCAGCAGCAAACTCTTGCTGCTAAAGATTAATTTTTGGATTTAAAACTCCAAAATGGCGAATTCAGACTCCCCGAGGGGCGAGTTCGCAGTGCCGGTGCCGGGCGCCGCGGACCAGCCGCCGGCCCCCCCCGCAGCAGCAGCAGCAGCAGCAGCAGCAGCAGCAGCAGCAGATGAGAAGACGCCGCTGCGGGAGCCGCGGGGGAAGCTGAAGTCCGCGCTGGCGCGGGGGCACCTGCTGGCGCGTCGAGCAGCAAAAAGGAGCTGCGAGAAGTCGAAGCAGTTCCTTGCGGAGAAGTACTTGGAGCTGCAGCAGCAGCAGCAGCAGGGGCCGCTGCTGCTGCAGTGGACCAGCATCGTTTGCTGCTTGCTGCTGCTGCCGGGGATCTGCTTCGACCTGGCCACTCTGGCGCTGTCGTTAAGTGCTGCGGAGTTCCTGGCGAACCTGTACGGGGCGCTGGGCGCGCTGCTGCTGCTGGCAGCAGAGCTCTGCTGCAGCAGCAGCAGCAGCAGCAGCAGCAGCAGCAGGCGGGCCGTGCGCGCGCTGCTGCACCGCCACCTGCCGCTGCTGGAGCTCAGCGTGGGCCGCGGACTTCTGCAAATTTATATTTCTTCTTTTTGCATTTCTTTTCGAAATGTTTTTAATTTGCTGAAGTTCCTTCCGGGGCTGCTGCTGCTGCTGTGCGGGCTGGGCAACGTGCTGTGGGGCGCAGCAGCAGCGTGCAAGCTGCATGCAGCAGCAGCAAACTGCGACGCCGTGCTGCTGCAGCAGCAGCTGCAGCAGCTCGAGGACACTGTCCGCACTCTCGACCCTGAGGGAAAAGGATCTTTTGCAAAAGAAGACTTACTTCGGACTTCGACAAATCCCGAATTTAATTCCGAATTTAATTCCGAATTTAATTCCAATTTAAATTCCAATTTTAAATTAAATTTGAACCTCCAAGAAATCCAAAACTTGCCGACTGACAGCCAGGGCCGCGTCGACACGCAGCAGTTCCAGCGCTGGTGGCTGCGCCACAAGGCCCCCCAGCTTCTCTAGCTGCTGCTGCTGCTGCTGCTGCTGCTGCTGCTGCTGCAGCGAGTTCAAGGCTACTTGCACTCGTTGGAAATCCGCGGGAAACTCCGGAAGCTGCCGAGGCAGCTGCAATTCAAGAAAAAGTTTCAAGTTCTCATTCCTGCTGCTGCAGCAGCAGCAGCAGCAGCAGCTGCTGCTGCTGCTGCTGCTAAAGCAGCTGTTGCTGCTGCTGCTATTCTTTGAAGGAGAGGACTGCCGCAGGGCGTCTGCGGCCAGTGTCGCGCCTCTCTGCTTACTGTAATGATCGTTTTTGGAGCTTCTTTTTGAACAAAACTTTGAATTTAGAGCAGTGCTCAATTGAACTTCGTTTCAAATTGAAATTAATTGTGGAAAAGACTTTAAATTCGTTTCTAATTTGCTGCAGCTGAACTTCTCTGCGGCAAAATGGCCGCCGTGGGAAGCGTCGTCTTGCTCACCATTTCGCTTTCAATTTGCTTCCAGATCTTCGCGCCGCAGCAACGAAAGGCCACTGAAAGGGAAAATGTGCAGCCCCAAAACAAGTGGGAGCCGTTGGTGCCAATTTAAAACTCAAAATATAAAATCTGAACTCGAGATCAGTCCTGCGGTGTGCACTGCATCGCGGGAGCTGTCGATACACCCCAGCGCCTTGCACGCCCGGGTCCGAAACTGCTTTCGAAAGCGAAATTTCTCTTCGCCACTTTTCAAATGAATTGCAAATCTTGTTTGAAGTTGAAATGCATTTGTGTTGTTCTTTTTGGGGCCGCGTTGGCGGCTGCGCAGCAGCAGCCCGCTGCTGCTGCTGCCAACGCAGCTGCTGCAAATGCTGCGGCTGCGGAAAGCGCAGCGGAATCCCCAGATGTTCCCAACGTGGACCTCAAAATTGTTCCTCAAAAAAGGTAGTTGATTTTATTATTAATTTTATTTTGCAATTTTGAAATCCAAAAGAAATTCAAATTCAACTTCGCAGCTGGCAGGGCTCCCGCGCGGCGCTCGCGGAGCTGCGGCGGAAGTTCGCGCAGTTCATTCGCGAGGGTGCGTTCGCGTTTTGAACTTCTTCGAGTCTGAAGTTTAATTTCATTTTAATTATTTAATTCAGTTTAATTTAATTAATTTAATTTAATTTAATTTAATTTAATTTGTTTTGTTTTATTTCCTTTTGCATGCGCAGAGATCAGCCGCAACGCGCGCTCCTGGGCGCAGCAGCAGAACGCAGCCAGAAGACGGGGCCAAAGTGAGTGCTGCAGCAGCAGCCAAAGTGGAAATTGAATTTAATTGATTTAATTTAATTAATTCAATTTAATTAATTGAATTCAATTAATTGAATTCAATTAAATTAATTCAATTAATTTAATTCAATACATTTAATTCAATTAATTAAATTAAATCAATTAAATTAAATCAACTGAATTTAATCATTTGAATTGAATTAAAATTTGAAATTAAAAATACTGCAGCAGCAGAGCGTCTTGGAGTCTTCGCTGGCAGCACATTTGTGAGTTGGAAGCAGCAGAAAAAGAATTTCAACTTTTATTTATTGTTATTTTTATTTTTATTTCTTCATGTTTATATTTATATTTATATTCATCCTTATATTTATATTTATATTTATATTTATATTTATATTTATATTTATATTTATATTTATATTTATATTTATATTTATATTTATATTTATATTTATATTTATATTTATATTTATATTTGTTTTTATTTTTATTTATTTATATGTATATTCATATTTATATTTCTTTTATTTCTTTTTATTTTTTTTTATTTTTATTTCTATTTTTATTTTTATTTTTATTTCAACATTTTCATTTTCAGAAAAGCCCCAGCCCTTCGCCTCCCGCCCGCTTCCAAAGCCTTCTTAATTATCCCCCCAGTTCGTTTTCCAAGTCCTAAACCCTAAACCCTAAACCCTAAACCCAAAACCCTAAACCCTAAACCCTAAACCCTCAGGTGCAGCAGCGGGCCTGGGCGAGCAGCTGCAGCCCGAAGGCTCTCTTCCAGCCGAGGCTCTTCAAGACCTTTTGAAAGCCAATCAGGTTTGACAAACTCTTGCTGCTGCTGCTGCTGCTGCTGCTGCTGCTGCTGCTGCTGCTGCTGCTGCTGCTGCACCTAAACCCTAGGCCCGAGCCCGTAAATGTCACAGTACAGCTGCAAATATTTGCCGTTGCAGCTTCTAAACCCTAAACCCTAAACCCTAAACCCTAAATGCTTAGGCGGGAGCTTTTCTGGACGCGACTCAAGGGGCAACTCCTGGCCAGTATTTGGAGGCTTTGGCGGAAGCCGTTTCAGGCCTGGTGGGTTGGGGTTCAGGGTTTAGGGTTTAGGGTTTAGGGTTTAGGGTTTAGGGTTTAGGGTTTGGGGAGTCGAATTGAAGTTGAATTTGACTCTCTTTCATGAACTGCAGCAAAAAGGAACGAACGGAGCCGCAGAAGACCCTCAAGCAGCAGCAGCAGCGCAGCAGCAGCAGCAGCAGCAGCAAATAATTCTGGAAGCAAACGGAGCAGCAGCAAAAGAGCAAAACCGTTTTTTTACAGAACCCGAAAGAGCGCCAGACGGCCCCATTTCTCTTTTTCCGAATTCCTGAGATTTTGCGAAATTAATCTTTTCAATTTCGAATTAAATAAGTTTTATTTTTAAATTGTTTTTTTTTATTTCGCAAAAAGGCTTTTTGCTTCTATAATCCGAAAGAGAAAAGAACTCAATGAAGAGGCAGCAGCTGCTGCCTCTTCAGCTGCTTCGCTGCTGCCCCTTTTTGCTGCTTCTAATTGTCACTCCACTTATCTTCCCCCTAACTCTGCTGCTGCTGCTGCTGCTGCTGCTGCTGCTGCTGCTGCTGCTGCTGCTGCTGCTGGGCCTCGTCTGGGGGGCAGACGACGCGGACTGGGGGGCTGCTGAGCTTGTCGATGAAGCTTTCGATCTTGAGGAGTTGTTGTTCGCAGAAGTCTTTGCGTCTTTCTTGACCAATGGTGTCAATTTGAGATTTAAAAGTCAAATTTTGGTACTCGTTGTTTATTTGCTGCCATTTATTGCGCAGACTGGCCAGCAGCTGCTGCCGCTCGGGCTCCTCCATGAGCCGCGTCTGCGGCTTTCCGGCCTGCGCGCAGGCGGGCCCCGAAGGATTAAAATGCAAAAATAAACGCTAAAATGCATTTAATTTCGCTTTATTTCCTCCATTTATTCTTCTGACTGCGTTTTATTTCGCTGCGAAGCGACGCGCGTTTCGCCGCGAGGTCACTCCGCGGCGGATCGCTGGGGTGTACATACACTGCGGTCGAATACAACTCGCGACTTCACTTCGAGTGAAATTGGAGATAAAGAGATTAATTGAGAAATAAAGAATGCAAATTATTAAATAAAGAATATAAAAGGGAAAGAAGGGGCGAAATAAGAGAAAAAACGGGAAAATCGGGGAACTTACGTGGCTGCTGTGCCTGAGACTTCGCACGAAATCGTATTCCGCCTCGATTTGAGACTTTATTTCCTTCAAATAAAACGGAACTTCTCCATATCCGTTTTTTTTCAAAAAGTTTTTCTCTTTTTTGGGCGCCGGAGGACGCGAAAGGATATTTATAATTGCGTTGTAGCGCACGTAGTTCATGTCGGACTTGACTCCGTGGATCTGCAGGAAAGCGCGAGAAAGGCGTTCAAAACGAACCAATAAGTGCATTTAAACCAATTAATTCAGTTTTTAATTCAATTGTTTATTCAATTTTTAATTTAATTCCGGCAAAGAAGGGAAATTAATTCGAAGAAAGAAAAGAAAAATTCTTGCCAAAGAATTTCCTTCCAATTAGCCGCAGAGAATTCCAACAGAAGCCGAACACAAGTTGGGGCAAAAGTAAAACAAATAAATGAATTAAACAAATAAAGGAATTAAATAAAATAAATAAATAAATAAACTAAACAAATAAAGGAATTAAATAAATTAAACAAATGAATGAATTAAACAAGTACATGAATTAAACAAATAAATGAATTAAACAAATAAATGAATTAAACAAATAAATGAATTAAACAAATAAATGAATTAAACAGATAAATGAATTAAACAAATAAGAAAATTAAACAAATAAATGAATACAACCAATAGAAGAATGGGACAAAAAAGAATAAACCAAATAAAAGAATAAACAAAACACGAGAACTAAACAATAAAAGAATGAAACAAATGAAGGAATAAAACAAACAAAAGAATAAATAAAATACAAAATAAATAAAAATAAAATAAAAATAAAATAAAAGCAAAAGTAAAATGAAATAAAAAGAAATAAAGAAAAAGCTTACTGGAGTGTCTTTGGGAATTGGAGGTTTGAATTTTGTTTTTGGCTTTGAAGTTGAAAAAATGGAAAATTGAATTTTTTTAATTTCGTTTTCAATTTCTTTTGAATTCATTAAATTGCTTTCATTTTCTAATTCTTTTTCATTTAATAATTCTTTTTTATTCTCGGATTCTTTTTTATTTAACTCTTTTTCATTTTCGGATTCCTTTTTATTCAATGATTCTTTTTTATTTAATGATTCTTTGTCATTTATTTCTTTTTCATCTGTTTCTTTTTCATTTAATTCTTGTTCATTTAATTCTTTTCCATTTAATTCTTTTTGCATTAATTCTTTTTGAATTAATTCCTTTTTAATTAATTCCTTTTGCATTAATTCTTTTTTAATCTGTTTCAAAGTTTTAATTCTTTTCGCCTTCGCCTCTTTTTTCAAAATTTCTTTTTTTGAATTTTTTAAATTCAACGGAGGCCCCAAAGTGGCTGCAGCCTTTTTATACTGGTGGCCCCAGGGGGCCTCAGCCACGGAGTTTCCTGCATGCAGCAATTAATTAATTAATTAGTTAATTAATTAATTAATTAAACAAACTAAATTAAATAAATTAAATCAATTTAATTTATTTAATTGGGTTTAATTGGCTTTGTTGAAGTTGAATGGGCTGCAGGGGACGGGGAATGCATGCATTCGTTTGAAGTTCAATTTATTTATTTATTTAGTTATTTATTCATTTACTTATTTATTTATTTATTTATTTAATTTAAAATTAAAACAATTAAGGAAAAAATAAATAAATAAATCCGAAAAGATCCCAAATGCCTCAGAAGCTGCTGATCTCTTTCAAAAAACAAAAAAGGAAAAAGTTAAAAAGACAAAAATATCAAAAAGTCCGTTCAATTCAGATTTCCTCCAAGAGATTCTCCACTAATCCCTCAGCAGCAGCAGCAGCAACAGCAGCAGAAGCAGCAGCAGCAGCAACAGCAGCAGCAGCACAGCAGCAGCAGCAGCACCACCAGCACCAGCACAGCAGCAGTAGCAGCAGCGCCAGGACAGCAGCAGCACCAGCAGCACCAGCACAGCAGCAGCAGCAGCAGCACCAGCGCAGCAGCAGCAACAGCAGCAGCACAAGCACAGCAGCAGCACAAGCACAGCAGCAGCAGCAGCAGCAGCAGCAGGGAACTGCGAAGAGCGTTGAAGACTCGACCCACCGGCAACGTTCTGGACGCCCGGCCTGGAGGTGCCTTGGAGTCCAAAAGTTGAACAAGAGGGAAGATAAAGTCCATTATGATTATTATGAAAAGTCTTTTTGAAAAGCTGTTTGAATTTGGGAGAGTTTTGCTGCAGCAGGAGGTTGCGGACGTTCTCTGTGGAAAACATTCTGCTGCAGAAAGCTGCGGAAAGCTGCTGCGCCGCCGCACGCAGAAAGCCCGAAAAAACCCGCACTCGCTCCGATCTCGCGGCTCAAAAGATTTATTTTTCCAAGTTTTACTTTTTTCAAACAGGAATTCAAACAATTAACGCAATAGGGGCTGGCTTCCCTCCCCGCCAGCGGCAGCCTTCCGGTGCGCGACCGCCGCCAACTTGCACGCGTTCGACGGACTCAGATCGCGCAAAAAGGTCTAAGTATTAAACTAATTGCATTTCGAGTTCTTTTTAATTTTAATTCTTTTTTTTCCTCCAGAAAGGCGGGCGAAATTCGCTTGGATTCCGCTCGCCTGGCGAGGCTGTTGGGGTGTCTGTACACCCCGTATCTTGATTGCGGTCAAACCGACTGCGGCCGAACCGCTTGTCACTTTTGCAATTCTTCGTTTATTTGAGGCCTCAAAGGCCAATTTATCTTTTAAATCAAAATTATTTTAACTATTTAAAGAATATTTCTTTTTTTTGCACTTAATTGGGCCATCTACCGCCGCAGCTTCGCCGAAGTGGATCTCGTACGAACCTGCTCGAAGTCGAGGCGCCTGGGCGTTTCAGCAGGAAACCCCAGCATCTGAATCTAAATTTTCAGAATTAGTTTTATAATTAAAAACACTCCATAAAATGGTTTTTGAATCCGAAAAAAATATTGTTTCGGAGACTTTTCACCGTCGATTGAGAGCTGTGTCTGCCGCGGCTGCCATGGAGTTGTTTGCAAGAGAAGCTGGAAACAGAAGAAATTGAATTAAATTAAAACGAAATAAAAGTGCAAATTAAAACAAATAAAAGAGAAAAGATAATTATATTTTTTTGCTTCCATTTGCAGCTTTGTCTTCTTCAAATTCAATACGCCATTTCCTGTCTCATCCACCAAAAAGCGGCATCGCCTCTCACTGCAGCAGCAGCAGCAGCAGCAGCAGCAGCATCCCCACTCCTTCTACTGCTCTCTCTAGCAGCACTAAGAAGAAAACAGAAGTAAAATATCCTTTCGAGTTTTGCAATTTCCTTAAAGACAATTTCAATTTAAAGAATTTCTTTTTTAATAAAAAAATTCTCAATTTCAGTTTAATTCGCAGCGCAGCTGCTAAAGCAGACAAACCCTACAACTCCAGCCTCTAAACCCTAAACCCTAAACCCTAAACCCTAATCCCTAGACCGCCGCCACCAGGGGCAGTTCAAGAGGCCCTTCTCCCGAGTTATTGTCTTTTTTCGTTTTAAAAGTTGGAAATTAAAGTTAATGATTAATTATTTTGAACAGCTCTTGTTTGCTGAGCTTGCAGCGGCGGCTGCGCAGGTGTACGTACACCCCAGCGGCCACACTGCCAGAACCCGAATAGCTGCAGCAGCAGCAGCAGCAGCAGCAGCTGCTGCAGCTGCTGCTGCTGCTGTTTGTTCTCTTATTTGGAGAATTAAAGAAGTTCTTTTAATAAAGAAGCAAAGAAGAATTTCTGAAAAGAATTAAAGACAAAAAGAAAAAAGACAAGTGCTCACCAGCCACCAGGTGTACAGACACCGGAAGAGCCCCCAGTTTCCCAAAAAAAATAAAGAAGTAAAACAACAATAAGACCAATAATATGCAAAATTAAAATAATGAGATAAAGTAACGAACGCTTGAGTTTGCTGCCGCTAGAACTTGGCCTCCGTGGGCTCCTTGAGCCACGGCAGCCGCTGCTGCTGCTGCTGCTGCAGCTGCTGCAGCTGCTGCGGGTCAATTTCGTTTAAGTGAATTACATTTCCTTTTTTCAAGTGCTCGTCGGTCACCACGGCTTTGTAGCCTCCCGTCTTTTCGTTCAGCTGCGCCTGCACTATGTGGTACCTGAACACAAAAGCGCTGCAGCACTTTTATCCGCTGCAGCAGCAGCAGCAGCAGCAGCATTGCAGCAGCAGCAGCACTGCAGCAGCAGCACTGCACTGCAGCAGCAGCATTGCACTGCAGCAGCACTGCAGCAGCATTGCAGTGCAGCAGCACTGCACTGCAGCAGCATTGCAGCAGCACTGCAGCAGCACTGCAGCAGCAGCACCGCACTGCAGCAGCAGCGCTGCACTGCAGCAGCGGACTTGACGAATTCGACGGCCATTTGGAGCTCGCTGTGGAGCTGCTGCGGAGAGAGTCCGAGGGAGTTGCGGCGCAGCAAAAGGCGCATTTGGAAGTAAAGAATTCGCTGCGCCTCGAAGTCGCCTTTGAAGGTTTTCTCGCAGGCCCGCAGGAACTGCCGGTACAGCGGCGCCAGCGCCTTGCTAGGCAGCTGCCCGCTCATCCCCAGCAGCAGCAGCAGCAGCAGCAGCAGCAGCAGCAGCAGCAGCAGCAGCGGGGCGGCGGCGGCGGCGGTGCTGCGGGGGAGGGGGGAGGGCCGGGGGGCAAGTCGGAGGGGAGGGAGGGGAAGGGCGGAAGGTTCGCGGCGGGGGGAGCGGCTGCTGCTTCAGCAGCAGCAGCAGCAGCAGCAGCAGCGGCGGCAGCGGCTGCAGCGGCTGGAGGAGGTCAGGGGGCTCTCGGGGGCGTTGAGGGCGGGTTTTGGAAGGCAAAAGAAAATAAATGAAAGGGGAAAGAAGAATTTATTGAAGTGGGAGCGATTCAGCTGTCTAGACATGCAACTCGCAGCTGCTGCTGCTCGCGCTGCGCGCGACGGGGCTTTGGTTTGCTCCAGCTGCTGTCTTCGGGGGCCGGCTTTTTGAAGCTGAACTTGATTTAAATGTCTTTTTGAATTAAATTAAAGTGCAGATCAAACGAAGAAAGAAGAAAGGAGGGCCACTTCGATGCTCACAGTGCGGCGGGCTTCAGGTGTATGTACACTGCAGCGCCGCGAACGCTTCCGGCGTTCACCTTCACTTTTGCCCTTCAGATCCGTTTGTTTTCGCGATCCTTTCGGCATTTCATTTCCAAATCAATTTAAATTCCATTTTACTCCTTTCGAAGCTTTAAAAGTCCCTTTTTCCCGCCGGATCGCCGCCACAAACTGGCCACTGGGGCCCCCCGCCCCGCCGAAATTCAAGAAAGCCAAAATGGCTTCTCCTTTCACCGGCGGCCTCGCCTTTTGGGATTCGCACATTCAACAAAATGAAGACCTCAGCGAAGGTTCAACTGTGGGTTTTCTTTCTTTCTTTCCTCCCTTACAAATAACCCTAAACCCTATACCCTAAACCCTTGCCGGGCCTCTGGAGGGCAGCGCCCCCTGGTGTTTAGGGTTTAGGGTTTAGCTGCCAGCCCGTGTTCTCCCTCACTTAACTGAGCGAAACGAAAACGCCTGCACACCTCGCATGCACACAGCAGCAGCAGCAGTAGCAGTAGCAGCAGCAGCAGCAGCAGCAGCTGCTGCAGCTGCGTGTGTTGAGTATCTATCGGAGTCCCGTGAATTTTGGACTTCGCGAATCATGATTAATGGCATTATTAGGATTGTTGGTTTGTCTCAGAGGCGTTTCTTATTTCCGTCCGGTTTGAATTTCTCTGCTGCTGCTGGAAAGCCGGGAGCAGCAGCAGCAGGAGCAGCAGCAGCAGCAGCAAATGGCATTCTTTCGGAACTCCCGAAGCCCCGGCCTTCTTCTTTGAGTCTCGAAGAGCGTTTTCAACTTTGTTTAAAAGTGGCAGAAGAATGCGTCCAGCCAGACGTGAGCTCCCGGCTCCGGTGTACAGACAGCTGATTAGAGGGGCATTTGGGGTGTCGAGACAGCTCACTAGAGGGGCATTTGGGGTGTCGAGACAGCTGATTAGAGGGGCATTTGGGGTGTCGAGACAGCTGATTAGAGGGGCGTTTGGGGTGTCCGTGCAGGAGCTGCTGCAGCTGCTGGCCCGCAAAAACTGCCCCACGGCCTACGACGGCTTCGAACCCAGCGGGCGCATGCACCTCGCGCAGGGCCTGCTGAAGGTGCATGCGGTGAACCGGCTGACGGCGGCGGGGTGCCGGTTCGTGTTTTGGGTGGCGGACTGGTTCGCGGGGCTCAACAACAAGCTGGGGGGCGACAGCGAAAAGGTGCTGTGCGTTTTTGTTTCGCTGGCGTGGCCGTTTTCTTTGTTGGGCGCGTTGGTGCGCCGCGCCGGTTGTTTCGCGGGCTTTGTTGGCTGTGTTTTGGCCGCCTCGCCGCAGTTCATCTTTTCGGGCCGCGCTGGCTCGACGCTTGGCGGGCCCCTCTTTTCTAGTCCATTTAGTAGTCCATTTAGTCCGTTTGGTTCCGTTCTTTTCAACTCGTTCGCTTTACTTTGCCCGGTTTGGCTTAGTGCGGTGCTTCGCCTTGATTTAACTGGTTTCCTTTCGTGCGTTTTAGGCTTCACTGTTCTGCTGTTTCCCTTTTGCTGCGTTTCAAACTTCTGGCTCCAGTTTTGTTTTCAATTGCTTTTGCTTGTCGTCTTCAATTCTGCCTTCAGTTCGTGTTGTTTGTTGTGTTGCATTTTGTTTCCAACTATTGTTATTGCTTGTCGCTTTCATTTTACTTCCAATCAGCTCAAATTCAGCAGTCGACACTATTCAAATTCATGTCCTCAACTTAATTCTCAATTCATTCAAATTAAGGAGAATTGAACACATTCAGATTGATGTCTTTAAATCCACTTCGAATTTATTCAGATTCAGAAAGTCGAGAATATTTAAATTTATGTTTTGAATCGTCTTTGAATTCATTCCGATTCCAAAAGCCGAAGAGCATTTGGAACTGCATTTCGAATTCCGTTTTGAATTCTATTCAATTTGAATTGTATTTGGAATCAATAAAAAGTTCCATTTCGAATTAAATTCTGAATTCTACTTTGAACTAAATAAGAATTCTTTTGGAATTCCATTTTGAGTTGTTTGCAGATTCGAAAGGTGGGGGAGTACTTCGTGGAAGTGTGGAAGTCTGCGGGAATGCAAATGCAAAATGTTCAATTTTTGTGGGCCAGCGAAGAAATTGGAAAAGATCCAGAGACTTACTGGAATCTTGTGATGAACATCGCGAAGGCGAACAGCATTTCGAGGTGCGCGGGGTGTACAGACACCTCCTCTGTCGCGTGCCTCTCGCGCGGATCTTGTCGTCCATTTCTTCTTTTCTTTTTTCTTTTTTTAGTCTTTTCTTTTTCTTTTATTCTTTTTCTTCATTTTTGGTTTGTTTTCCGCAGAATTAAAAGATGTTCGCAAATCATGGGACGCACTGAAGGAGACGATCAGCCCGCCGCCCAGATCCTCTACCCCTGCATGCAGGTGCGGCTTGGGGTGTCTGTACACCCGAAGAGGTGTACACGCTGTTGCCCCGCAAGCTGCTGCTGCTTTTGCTTAGCCGCTGAAATCAATTATTATCATTATTACCATTAGTATTATTGTCATTGCTATTATTATTATTATTGTTATTATTGGTATTAGTATTATTAGTATTATTATCATTATTTCTTCTTTTGGCTCAAGCTTGCGGGTGGCTGTCGAGTTGCTGCTAACGGCGTTTGCGCGGTGTACGTACACCTGGTGCTGGGGGAACTACTTCGCACTTTTCTGGCTTCGTTATAAAAGCCGAAAAGTGCAAATAAACGGCGGAGTTCATTTCTACTTGAACTCGCGGAACTACCTTTTGAAGGGCTTGTTCAAATTTGGCATTTGTTTCTTTTTTTGCCTTTTGCGATGCAGTGCGCTGATATCTTTTACTTGAACGCGGACATTTGCCAGCTGGGCATGGACCAGCGGAAAGTGAACATGCTGGCGCGGGAGTACTGCGACGAAGTCAAGAGAAAACACAAACCTGTCATTTTGTCTCACCCGATGCTTCCGGGATTGTTGGAAGGACAGGAAAAAATGTCCAAGTCCAACGCGGACTCCGCGATCTTCATGGAGGACTCCGAGGCTGTGAGCTGCTCCGCGCAAAGCAGCAAGAAAAACGAAAACTAAGGCTTTTCTACAGCAGCAGAGGCAGCAGCAGCAGCTGCTGCTGCTGCTGCTGCAGTGATCTGCATGCGCAGCGCCACGCTGCACTCGCTGGCCTCGGGGCTTGCGGTGTCTGTACACCGCAGGCAGCTGGCGCGGCGTCCGTGTTGTTTTCTTCTGATGTGTTTTCAGGAAGTGAACAGAAAAATCAAAAAGGCATTTTGCCCTCCCGCGCAGGTGCACGGGAATCCGTGCGTGGCCTACGTGGAGCGGCTGGTGTTTCCCGACAAGGAGTTCCACGTGCAAAGGACTTTGGAAAACGGAGGAAACATAGTTTTCAAAACTGCAGAGGAATTCAAAAGGAGCTTCGCGGCGGGCGAGCTGCACCCTGCGGACCTGAAGGCTGCACTTGCGCGCGAGATCAACAGACAGCTCGAACCCGTGAGACGCCACTTCCAAACCGACGAAAATGCAAAAAAACTCCTCCAAGAAATCTCCAAATACAAGATCACCAGGTGAAAAGAACAAAACTGACGCATCGCGCTCCCGCGACCGCCGGTCGCGGCGGCGCGCGGTGTTCGTACACCTGAATTTCAAGTTTCGCCGCCGCCGACCGTTCAACTCGCGACAACTTCGCTTCAAAACTCTAGCTGAGTGCAAAATGCTCGTTTGAATGCGTCTTTTTCGGGTTTTATGATCTAGAAATCACTTTTAGTCGCGAGCAGAGGGCCGCAGAAAGCAGTCTGAACTTGCGGGAAATTCCGCAGCGCCGCAGGGAGCAGGGGCCGCGCAGGTGCCCGGAACTGGTTGTTCCACTGAGCGAATGGAGTTTCTTCTTAACTAAAATACTTCTAAAGCATTTATTATTTATTGTTAGAAGCTTTCACTGCGGCTTTGAAGGCGTTCAAGCCCAGTCAGCTAGTCTCGGAAGAAGGCGAAACCTGCGTTCAAAACTTGAATCGAAGTGAAGCCGCTGGCGCTTAAAGTGGACTAAAGCTGCACTTCGAGCTGCGAAATAAAGCCAAAAACTAATTCAACAATTTGGAGAGGCTTTTGGAGACAGATCTGCGAGTTTCTCATTTTCTGCAAAACTAGGAAATGCAGCATCGAAAAGCAGCACAGCTGCAGCAGGAGCGCAGCGTGAGACAACTGCTGCTGGCCGTGGCTTTTTGCGAGGACTTGAATTACGAATGCAGTTGCAATTAAGAAAAACTAAGAGAGTTGAATTAGGCCTATAGGTGCGAGGCAGCAGCAGCAAAAAGGCGGGGAATTCCCGGAAGTTCTCCGCTGCTGCCGCCGCCGCTGCTGCTGCTGCTGCGGCTGCGGCTGTGTTGCTGCAGCTGCACGCGGCGCAGCAGCGGGGCAGCCCCCTCAGTGCCTCTTTGTGCTTTCTTTTGGTTGGAAAGGACTTGTTGTAGAAGAGCTTTTTGTGGACTTGAGGAATCGGGGAAATGCAAAGGAGCAGCAGCAGCAGCGGGGCGGCGGGCGCAGCAGCAGCAGCAAAAGAGCTGTTTGTGGGGCCTTTTCGTGGGATTTTTGGAGTGTACGTACACCCGAAAGTCCCCTTTTAAGTCAAGATTGGCAAAAGTCGAAAAGGCCGCAAGAGCGCGGCCTGGGGGCACTGAACCGCTGGTCCGCGGCCGAAGGCGCTGCTGCTGCTGCTGCGAGTGCAGCAGCTGCATGCAGCAGCAGCAGCAGCAGCAGCAGCAGCAGCAGCACTCGCGGCCTGCACCGCGGCTTTGGGGGCGAACTTGAATTTCTGTTGGGTTTTTAAAGTCAAGGGGAAAGCCCTTTCGGCGAACTCCGCTAAATGCTGCGCAGGGGCCCCTGAGTGCTGCAGCAGTTGGCCCGCGAGCAGCAGTTGCTGCTGCAGCAGCAGTTGCTGCTGCAGGCTGCTGCACGGGAAGCCGTGCAGATTAGGATGGACAGAGAGGGGCCCGGGCAGGGGACTTGCTGCAGCCTTCGCTCCCTCGCCTAGCCGCTGCTGCTGCAGCGCGCAGCTCTGCTGCTGCTGCTGCTGCTGCTGCACTCTCCATGCTCCCCACGCCGCGGGAGCAGCAGCAAAGGGATGCTGCCTGCTCGCCTGCTGCAGCAGCAAAAAGCACTTCCCCCAGCTTTCCCCACAACTTCAGCAGCAGCAGCTTCGTCCCCAAACTCTCGCGGCTGGCCCGTGGGGCTTCCCCTGCTGCTTCGCCGCAGCCCCCGCAGCAAAGGCCCAGAGCAGCAGCAGCAGCAGCAGCAGCAGCAGCAGGGCTGTCGCCGGCCGGCTCGCTGGCGGCCTCGTTCGCTGCGGCGACGCCAGCAGCAGTTTCGCGGGCCGCGTCGCTGGCAAGGGCTTCCCCAGCAGCAGCAGCAGCAGCAGCATCGCCAGCAGCAGCAGCAGCGTCGCCAGCAGCAGCAGCATCGCCAGCAGCAGCAGCATCGCCAGCAGCAGCAGCATCGCCAGCAGCAGCAGCATCGCCAGCACTCTCGCCAGCTTCTGCTTCGCCGGCCTTATCGCTAACAGTGGCTTCTGTGGCAGTGGCCTCGTCAGCAGCAGCATCGCCAGCAGCAGCAGCATCGCCAGCAGCAGCATCGCCGGCAGCAGCAGCATCGCCAGCAGCAGCAGCATCGCCAGCAGCAGCAGCAGCGTCGCTGTCGCCAGCAGCAACAGCGTCGCCCGCAGCGAGCGCCTCGCCCGCGTCGGCCGCGTCGCCCGCAGCAGCAGCAGCAGCAGCAGCAGCGCGGCAGCACAGCGGGCCCAGGTTCAAAACCCTCGTGGATGTGGTGTTTTTCGAAAGCGGAAGAAAAGCAGCAGAAGCAGCAGCAGCAGCAGCAGACTGGGGAGAAAGGGTTTCGGGAGAAGAGGCAAATTCTGTTTGCTTTTCTTTGCAAGACGGGGATGAAAGCCGCAGCCGCATGATCAGCTGCTTCCCTTCTGCTGCTGCAGCAGGAGCAGCAGCAGCAGCAGCAGCAGCGCCCGACGCTCCCGCCCGCTGCTCCACCTCCGACCTAAACTCCCAAGACGAAGAGTCCTTTGGTCAGCTCCTAAACCCTAAACCCTAAACGCTAAACCCTAAACCCTAGCTTTGGCCAAAATCCTACTCTCTAAACCCTAAACCCTAAACCCCAGGCCTTGGCTTCGGAGCCCCAAACCCTAACCTCAAACCCTAACCCCCAAACCCTAACCCCTAAACCCCGAACCCTAAACCCTAAATCCCAAACCCTAGGCCCTAGGGTTTGAGTTTGAGGAGCGTGGGTGGGGCCTTTGGCGCTGCTGCAGAGAGCATGGAGGAGCAGCAGGAGGAGCAGCAGCAGCAGCAGCTGCAGCAGGTGGGGGGTTTGCTGCGGCTGCGGCTGCCGCTGTGGCTGCAGACCTGCGTGGCCTACATGCGAGCAGCAAACTGCGAGGCCTTCAGCGACCTCTACGGGCCCTACCAAACCCTAAATCAGCGGTTTAGGAGCTGGAGGCCCTTGAGCTTCAAAAGGAAAAAAACTGAAGTGGAGTTTGTGGACTTCAGCTGCCGCAAAGTGCCGCTGCAGACGCTGCTGGGGGCTCTGCTGGCTGCTGCGCTGTTCACGCTGCACTTCTTCGTGGCCAGAAGCTGCTGCGGCCTTTCCCCCAAACTCTTTGCTGCTGAACTTGCATGCAGTTTGCTGCTGCTGCTGCTCATGGCTGCATGCAGCTTCGCGTACTGCTGCCGCCGCTACCTCGAGTTCAGCATTGCGGCCACCACTGCGGCGGTGAGCGCCTCTTTCGCGCTGTTTGCTGCATGCAGCCCCGAGGGGGCTTTTGTTGTTTCCTTTTGCGAATAAAAGAATAAATGCAAACAATTATTTCTTTTGTTTGCAAACAGAAAGGAAAAGCCCTTCCCGAGGCCCCGTTCGGGTGTCTGTGCAGCTCCTGCGCGTGCGCGCGCGCATCTGCGGTGTACAGACACCTCGCTGCTGCATGCAAGTGCTGCATGCGTTTCGGGCGTTTCGGGGCTTTTTTTGCGCAGTTTTTGCAGAATTGATTGCAATAAGTGTTTTAAACGGTGAACTTTGCAAGTGGCGGCAAAAGGAGCCGCTGGGGGGCTGTTTGGGCCGAGTTCAAGTTGCGTTCAAGTTGCAGCGCTGCTGCGGCTGCGCCTTCTTGCTGCTGCCGCAGATCCTTTCCCTCCGAGCTCTTGTCCGCATTGTAGTGACAGCCCAGGCCCTGCAGAGGCCCCTCCTCGCCCGCCGCGACTTCTTCGTTTACAACTTGATGGGAGTTTTGGAGACGGTGCTGCTCCTTCTCATTCCCTACAGCCTCGCGGCCATCCGGTGAGTGTACGTACACCCCAGCAGCTCCGACGGCCGCAGCTGCAGCCGCTTCGCACTTCGCATTTATTTCTTACTCCATTTCTTCCTTAATCCATTTATTGCTTAATGCATTTCTTACGCGAAATCCGTTTGTTTCTTAATCCATTTGTTCCTCTGTGCATTTCTTACACGAAATGCACTCATTTCTTAATGCATTTATTTCTTAATGCGTTTATTACGGGAAATGCATTTATTTCGTAATGCATTTATTTCTTAATGCATTTATTTCTTAGTGCATTTATTTCTTTTGCGCGTTTTGCACATTTTCCATTCTTTTGAAGTTCTGCATTTTCGCTATCCTGCACAGCGCTGCGCAGGGCTTTCATGGGCTTTCTGTTTGCATGCGTTTTTAAAATTCAATTTTATTTTTTTCCTTTTTGCTGCCCCTGACGCTATGATGCGCAGTGTACGTACACCCCGTCAAAGCAACCTTGCGAGAAACAAAGGGAAACATTTGTTTTATTTATATTAATTTGAAATTCCGTTTCTGCGTTTTGCTGCAGCTACGCGTATTGTTTTTATTTGACCTTTATTTCGGTCTTTTGGGCCCTCTCGATTGGGTGTCTCTCCATAAAGGTTGCGGTGTCTGTACACCCGAAAGATGAAGAAGGCTACTGGGCTGCAGCTGCTCTCATTTATTTTCTTTTGGCAGTTCTTGTGATGGTGCTGGACCAAGCTGCCATGATACACGAACACAAACGCCGTGTCCTCTTCTGGAAGCTCAAGGTAAACAAAGGTTTAGGGTTTAGGGTTTAGGGTTTAGGGTTTAGGGTTTAGGGTTTAGGGTTTGGCAGTGCAGGGGCAAACTGCAGCATGAGGACGGTGTCGGGATCAGCTTTGTCGCAGTGTGTGTTTGGCAGATCTCCGACAATATCCTTTCAGTTTAATTAATTTTAATACAATACAATTTAATTTCAATTTTAATTTCAATTTTATTAATTGCTAATCAGTTGCGCATTTGAATTTTCTCATTCTTCCCGCTTTCGCAATTCCGGTGGCGGGCGTCGGTGCATGCGGCTGGGGTGTACAGACAGCTGACGACCGGCTGGACTTGCTGGAAGACCAAATCTTTCACAAACAAAAAAGAAAAAGAGTTCCAGTGCCTTCGACTCCTTTGGAAAGTGTAATTCGCAATTTAGATTTGGTGAGAAGAGGAAGAAAGCTGCAAATCCGCAGCGAAAGACTTGCAAACAGCAAACAGGAGTTGCAGAAACCCGAAACAGCTCTTGCCTCGTTTTTAGGATCCAGCGCGGAAATTAGAAAATAAATGGAAATTAAAGGAAATAAAAGAGAATTTGAAAGAATTAAAGGGAAATTTAAGGCAATTTAAAGAAATTTAAAGAAAGGAAAAAGAATAAACGGATGCGGCTGAGTGGCAGCGGGGAGGTCGGTGGAAAAGTTGAATATTAATTTATTTTTTTATTTCTATTTATTTATTTATTTATATATTTATGTGTGTGCTGTCTTTGAAGACAGTCTTACGAATTTAAAGAATGGGTTTTAGTCATTTTAATTATTTTCGACTTTTGTTTGTTTGCTGCTGCCTCTGAAGGCAGTCTTAAGAATTCAAAAAAAGGACTTAATTCATTTTGGCCCTTATTAATAAAAGGGGGATTTAAATTACTTTGTCATTCTTTTATTGGCAAAGAAAGCACTTAATTTATTTCATCGTTTATTTATGATTAAAAGGAATTAATTCATTTATCATTTATCTATGATGAAAAGAGGAATTAAGTCATTTATCAATTATTCATGATTTGAGAAAGGACCTGATATATTTCATCATTCATTTATTATCAAAGAAAGGGCCTAATTCATTTATCATTTATTGTAAAGGAAAGGATTTAATTTTTTTTATCATTTATTAACTCTCAAATAAAGGGTTTAATTAAATTGAAATCCATTTATTATCAAAGAAAGAACTTAATTGAATTATCATTTAGTATGAGAGAAAGTCTTTAATCTATTTTATCACATTACGAATCAAATAAAAGATTTAATTCAACTATCACCTATTAAAAAGGAAGTCTTTAACCAATTTAACCATATTATTTGTCAAAAAGAGCCTGAATCTGCTTTATTATTCATTTATTTCGAAATGAAGGACTTAATCCAATTTTATTGTGCAAACAAAACTCCTTTTTAATTCCTTGCATGCAGGTGCAAGGGGTGGTCTTGAGCGCGCAAATGGGGGAAGACGAAAGAGCCCGTGTGCAGCAGCTGCTGACGGAGGCCAGACACAACTTGACGTTTTCGGACAACATTTACCAGTTCAACGCGGACACTTGCAAAGACGTGGGACAATAAGTGTTTTAATCTTTAAATATAATTAATATTTGCAAATATATGCCGTTTATTTGCATATCTGTGCACAAAGATCTGCATTCTGCATGCATTCATGTATGTGGCACAACTTGACGTTTTCGGACAACATTTACCAGTTCAGCGCGGACACTTGCAAAGACGTGGGACAATAAGTGTTTTAATCTTTAAATATAATTAATATTTGCAAATATATGCCGTTTATTTGCATATCTGTGCACAAAGATCTGCATTCTGCATGGATTCATGTATGTGGCACAACTTGACGTTTTCGGACAACATTTACCAGTTCAGCGCGGACACTTGCAAAGACGTGGGACAATAAGTGTTTTAATCTTTAAATATAATTAATATTTGCAAATATATGCCGTTTATTTGCATATCTGTGCACAAAGATCTGCATTCTGCATGCATTCATGTATGTGGCACAACTTGACGTTTTCGGACAACATTTACCAGTTCAACGCGGACACTTGCAAAGACGTGGGACAATAAGTGTTTTAATCTTTAAATATAATTAATATTTGCAAATATATGCCGTTTATTTGCATATCTGTGCACAAAGATCTGCATTCTGCATGGATTCATGTATGTGGCACAACTTGACGTTTTCGGACAACATTTACCAGTTCAGCGCGGACACTTGCAAAGACGTGGGACAATAAGTGTTTTAATCTTTAAATATAATTAATATTTGCAAATATATGCCGTTTATTTGCATATCTGTGCACAAAGATCTGCATTCTGCATGCATTCATGTATGTGGCACAACTTGACGTTTTCGGACAACATTTACCAGTTCAGCGCGGACACTTGCAAAGACGTGGGACAATAAGTGTTTTAATCTTTAAATATAATTAATATTTGCAAATATATGCCGTTTATTTGCATATCTGTGCACAAAGATCTGCATTCTGCATGCATTCATGTATGTGGCACAACTTGACGTTTTCGGACAACATTTACCAGTTCAACGCGGACACTTGCAAAGACGTGGGACAATAAGTGTTTTAATCTTTAAATATAATTAATATTTGCAAATATATGCCGTTTATTTGCATATCTGTGCACAAAGATCTGCATTCTGCATGCATTCATGTATGTGGCACAACTTGACGTTTTCGGACAACATTTACCAGTTCAACGCGGACACTTGCAAAGACGTGGGACAATAAGTGTTTTAATCTTTAAATATAATTAATATTTGCAAATATATGCCGTTTATTTGCATATCTGTGCACAAAGATCTGCATTCTGCATGCATTCATGTATGTGGCACAACTTGACGTTTTCGGACAACATTTACCAGTTCAACGCGGACACTTGCAAAGACGTGGGACAATAAGTGTTTTAATCTTTAAATATAATTAATATTTGCAAATATATGCTGTTTATTTGCATATCTGTGCACACATGTGTATACTGGTCTTATATGCATATACATATGTATACAAATATGTGAATATTGTGCCTATAAACATATATATATATATATATATTTATATATGTATGTTATGTTTGAATGGGTTAAATACATTATTTTGTTTTAGTCCAATTTGTGTCAAATCGGGAAGCTCGGGAGAAGTTACAAATGATAATTTGAAGGGAGGGAAACTTCAAATTTATAAACCATTTCCAGAAGCAGCACGCGTCTCTGCGGCTGCTGCTGCTGCTGCTGCTGCGTGTTGCTGGAGCACGCGATCTGCGAGCGTTTTGCATGCAATCCGCACGCGTTTTTCCCCGCGATTTGCACGCATTTTGCATGCATTTTGCATGCGTTGTGCATGCATTTTGCACGCGTTTTGCATGCGTTTTGCATGCTTTTCTGTTCTTTTTTGTTTTTTTTCAGGGTTTCGCGAAGAGCTACGTTTCCGATTTGAGGAGGGAAGGAATCAGCAAACCCAGAAAGCTTTCCCGCATGACCAGTTTGGCCGTGAGGCGGCGGACGCGAGTTTTCGGAACTATAGACACTCTCGTGAGCTTTTATAAAAATAAATAAATTCAATTTTTAATTTATATTTATATTTATATTTATAGTTATATTTATATTTATATTTGGATATTATTTTTGGAAATGCAAATTCGAAGTGCAGTTTGAAAAGCCAAAGTTGAAGTGCAAGTTGAAAAGTGAATTGCAAATCGAATTTGGAATTGAAATTTGAAAATGCAAATTAGAAGTGCAAATTGGAAATTTAATTTGGAAATGCAAATTGGAAATTGGAAGTGCAAATTGAAATTGGAATTTAATTTAGAAATGCAAATTGGAGGAGGCAGCGAGAAGTTCAGAAGGACAGAAAGATTTGTCGTCAATTTTTGCAGCACAAAAGCTGTGAATAAAAGCAGCAAAGGTTGTCAATAAATGCAGCAAAAGCTGTTGAAAAGGGCAGGAAAAAGTGTTAATAAATGCAGCAAAAGTTGTGAATACTAGCAGCAAAAGTTGTGAATAACAGCGGCAAAAGTTGTCAACAACAGCAGCAAAAGTTGTGATAAAAGCAGCAAAAGCTGTGAATAAAAGCAGCAAAAGTCTTGAACAAAAGCAGCAAACGTCTTGAATAAAAGCAGCGAAAGTTGTGAATAAAAGCAGCGAGAGAACGCTGCGAAGCATTAGGGGTGTTGTGGGGCGGGTGTGGTGGGGTGTACGTACAGCAGGCGCTGAAGGAGTACAGCGCCAAGATCGGAGTGGACTGGAGTTTAGATTTTATTCAGTTTGGACGGGAGAGTTCGCGTCCTTTGTTTGAAGTTGGATTTACAATTTTGTCTCCTTTTTGTCTTTCGCCAGATATCAGTCTCAACACGGATATCCTTTCGAACTTCCTAGACGAAGTCAACAACGGCTACAAAGAAAATCCCTACCACAACGCGCTCCATGGAGCCACTGTTAGTTTATTATTCATTTATTTATTTATTTATTTATTTATTTATTTATTTATTTTAATACTTTTATTTAAATAAATGTGTTTAATTTGTTTATTTAAAGTCTTTTGTAAGTCAACAACGGCTACAAAGAAAATCCCTACCACCACGCGCTCCATGGAGCCACTGTTAGTTTATTTATTTTATTTTAATTATTTATTTTATTTTAATGCTTTTATTTAAATAAATATGTTTAATTTGTTTATTTAAAGTGTTGAATGAAGTCAACAACGGCTACAAAGGAAATCCTTACCACATCGCACTCCATGGAGCCACAGTTAGTTGTTTTAATTATTTTTGTTTTGAATTATTTGTTTTGTTTCCAATTATTTATTTCATTTTCCATTTAGTTTTCAGTTTTCCCCATTATTTTTTTCAATTTTCAACTATTAATTTCATTTTGCAAATGTTAACTTCATTTTCCAATTGTTTATTTCATTTTCCAATTATTTATCTCATGTTTTAATTATTAATTTTATCTTTTAATTATTAATTTTATTTTTAAATTATTGATTTTATATTTCAATTGTTTATTTCATTTTTTTGATTATTCATTTTATTTTTTAATTATTAATTTTATGTTTTAATTATTAATTTTACTTTTCAATTATTAATTTCATTTTCCACTTACAAACATTTCCAAAGGCCAGCCAGCAGAGGCAACTCCTCCTCTTGTCTCCATTCCTACTTGGTCATTCTTGATTTGATCTATTATTTACTATTATCATTGTTATTGATGTTAATATTATCATTATTACTATTATTTATTACTATTATTGTAGGTAATATTATTGTCATTATTATTATTATCGTTATTCTTATTGTTATTATTATCATTATTGTTATTATTATTATTATTACTATCATTATTACCACTGTTATTACTATTATTATTATTATTATTACTAGTTATTACTATTATTATTATTCATTTTAATCTGCATTTCTTTTTCATTGTTGTTTTGCGGCTTGTGCAGGTTTGTCACATGACCATTTGCCTTCTTGAGATGCTTCGCGTCCGCGAATTGTAAGTCACGTAGATTTCTCTTTTTGTCGAATATTTTTAGAATTGATTTGTCTTTTTTATTCCTTTTCTTTAGATAATATATTTAGAATTGACTTTCACTTGTGGGAGTCTCGTTCTTATATTTGTGGCTTCTTGCTGATGGTGGGGGTGTTCAAGTTGCGCGAAGACGCGGGGTGTACGTACGTCCAGCTCAAGGGGCTGAGGGCTGAGGGTAGTTGAAATTAATTTTGTGTATTTAATTTTTTATTCTGAGGGTAATTGTAATTAATTTATTTGATTTCATTTTATTTATTTTCTATTTATTGTTTTCGCGCAGCATGAGCGACCTGGAAGATATTGCCGTTGGAATTGCATCTCTTTGCCACGATGTGGTGAGTGGGAGTCTGTGGAGTGTTCTTGAAGGACAGTGGGAGTGGCGAAATGTTATTTTTTGCATTTAATTCAAAATAAATATCTAAATTGTTTCACTTTTAGACGAAAGTTGATTTGAAATTCATCTCCAAGAAGTGTTTCCACGCCCTATCAGAATCGCAGCCCAGCGCTGCGGTGTACAGACACCTGACAGACCACGCAGCATCGCCGCACCGCTTCAATTCACAGCCCCCCTAAACCCCAAACCCTAAACCCTAAACCCCAGCGAATATGTCTTAAAACCCCATTAATATTGTGCTGAAGAGTCGAATTATCCGCGTTTGGGCACTTTAGAGTTCGAACTCGCGCCAGCTGCACTGCGGAGTCTGCTGCCGCTGCAGGGTCACCCCGGGCGAAACAACAACTTCATGATTGCAGCCAACACGCCTTTGGCAATTACTTACAACGACAACTCCGTGCTGGAGAACCACCACTCCGCCTTGACTTTCCGCATTCTCAGCAAGTGCGGAATCCCACGAAGTTCAAATGCATTAATGCCTCAGTTCTTTTATTTTAAATGCCACAAATGCTAAATTCAAATGCATTAATGCTACAATTCTTTATTTTAAATGCCACAAATGCTAAGTTCAAACGCATTGATGCCACAATTTCTTTGTTTTAAATGCCACAAGTGCGAAGTTCAAATGCATTGATGCCTCAATTCTTTTATTTTTAATGCCACAAGTGCGAAGTTCAAATGTACTAATGCCACGTTTTTATTTTAAATGCCACAAATGCCGCAAATGCTAAATTCAAATGCATTAATGCCACAAAGTTTTATATTCTAAATGCCACAGGTTCTAAGTTCAAATGCAAATGCATTAATGCCACAAAATTTTGTATTCGCAATGCACGAATGCAACAAAGTTATATATTTTTAAAATGCACAAATGCCACAAATTTTAATTCGAAATGCACAAGTGCCAGAAGTTGCAGATTCGAATGAATAATAAATGCCACAAATACCAAATGCAAAAATGCCACAAATGTTTAAATTCGAAAATGGCAGTTTGGGCAGCAGCAGTTCTTTTCAGTTTCACAGGCAATTCCGATGAGCTGTGGGACTGGAGTTTGGAGTTGTAGATAATAGATTTAACAAGAATGTGGCAGAAATGGCATTAATAGAATGGCATTAGCAGCTGCTAGTCTTAATGCTAAATAAAAAGCCAGAAAGCGAACAATAAGAAGCAGTTTAAGTGAGCAGGTCGTGGGGACTTTCTTGTGGGCCAAATGAACTGGGGTGTACAGACAGCTGGATTCTGAATAATCTACTCGGTTTTTTTTTTTGTTTTTTTGTTTTTTTATTCTTTCTTTCTTAGGCCTCAGTGCAACATTCTGGAGAAGGCGACAGACTGCGCTTACCGCGCAATTCGGAAGTACATAATTGAGTGGATTTTATCGACAGATATGAAAATGCATTTCGACCACATTAGTGCATTTCGAACGAAAAGAATCAACGGAGAATTCAATATTGCCAGCAACGAAGAAGACAGAACGTGGGCTTTCATTAGCCTCAGTTCTTGAAGCAAACAGCAGTTGCCTGTGCCTTGAAATGAACATAATTGAGCATATAAGTGTTCACATTGAAACATTTTCACAAGTGTAATTTTCCGTATAAAATGGTATTTGAATAGACTCCGAGCTGCTGCTGCAAGATGCGGATACGGAAAGGTTAAAAAGTCTTAATTTGGGTTTAATCAGCTTCATTAAACTGCACTGGTTGAGATCTGAAGAAGTTCCTTTATCGCATGCATTTGAAGTGTATGTACAGCTTCACCGGTGCAGGGTAACTGCAACCGCTTTTGAGTTTTCTGGGGCCTTCAAGCCAGAAAAGAAATACAAATGGAGTGGATTTAAGTATATATATATAAATATATATATACGTATTTATATATATATATATATTGAGTGCAGTGCTAGAAAAGACTTACTTCCGCATTTATCTTTTCATATTTGTACACAGTTGCATCCAGGGAGGCAGACAAACATGTTTTGCAAGTGCACACTTTTTTGCATCTGCATGCATTAATTTATGTATTTTTGTTTTTTATTTGTATTTATTTCTGATTTGTATTTATTTGTTTTCTGTTTTTTACTTCAGCCGCGTTATCTCCATGTGCGTCAAAGCGGCAGACTTGGGGCACGCCGCGACTTGTTGGGAACAGCACGAGGAATGGTGCAGACGCGTGGTGACAGAGTTTTATGACCAAGTGAGCTTCAGTGGATTTATATGACAAAGATTATAAAACATTGACACATGAATGGACAAAGATTGCAAAAAATTGACGAAGTTTGCACAAAATTGACAAATATTGCAAGAAATTGACAAAGATTTTATAGAATTGACAAATATTGCCAAATAATTGACAAATATTACAAAGTATTGGCGAAGACTGTAATATCCAATTGTACAAACTTGTTCATCGCGCAATGCAAGGGAGGCTGCTGCAGCCTGCTGCAGCCTGCTGCAGTGGCTGCTGCAGCCTGCTGCAGTGGCTGCTGCAGCCTGCTGCAGCAACGTGGCAAGAGCAGGACTTTGTAGTGTTTTGTGTTGTTTGCGTTTTAGGGGGACGAAGAGGAGCGTCTGGGGCTTCCGAAATCCTTTCTCTGCGACCGCTCGCTGCATGAGAAGGAATTTGTGTCTTCTCAAGTTGGTTTTATTAATTTCGTCGTCAAAGTGAGTTTTTGTTTGGTCATTTTTCTGTTTTTTGGCGCTTTAACAGCTGCATGCATCTGCTTGGGTGGAAGGAAATGCGCAAATATTTATTAGTGTTCAACAGCTGCATGCATCTGTTTAGGTGGAAGAAAATGCACAAACATTTGTTATTTTCTGTTCAAATAGATATTCTTTTTATGTACCCCCTGCTGCTGCTGCCACATCCAGATGCAGCGCAAACTGAATGTGCACAAGTCGGGGTTGCTGTGATCGGCTTTGCAGCAGCTTGATCTCGAATAGAAGGAGTTAATCCTGAATTATAAATCAATTTAAAAATCAAACAATGTTTCATTTGTGAATTATAAATTAATTTAAATGTCCAATGCGATGAACGGTGGCTGTTTTGCTGCAGCCGCTTTACGAGGAGCTGAAATCGGTGGACGAAATGCTGCAGCTGTCGAAGCGGCAAGAACTTGCGCACATTTGCGTCGCCAACATCGAGGCGAATGCCGCACACTGGCAAAGAGGACAAAAAGAAATTTGGAAATAGTTCTCGAAAGAAAGCGGGGCAAACAAGTGCATTTGGAGTGGCGGTGTCAGTGGATTCTGCACGAACTGCTGCGCGGAGCCTCCTCCAGGATGCATGCAACTCCCCCCGCCGACTAATAAAGCGCAACTTGCTTTTTATTCTCCCTCTATTCCGACTCAATCTGCTTATCTTAACTACTTATTGGCTTTTAGACACGAATTTCGTGTCGACTTGCACCACCTAATGCATATCCTTCCGTATGTCCCTTGGCATTTGTGTGCGGACGTGAAACAAGGAAAACCCTCGCAGGATTAGTATTTGCGCACAGGTTAAATGCACAAATAACATTTAAATCAACTTCTCAGTATGTCGTTTAAACGATTAATTAGGACAGTCAGACGGCTGCAAAGTTCCCCACGAAAAAGTGGAGGAGGCGTCTTGGGGTGGAAAGATTTTCACCTTCAAAAAGCTGCCAATGCCGAACTACGCAACTATTTTGAATGTTTATTTCCTGGCAACAAAACGCATATTCAGCTGCTTCTGCACAATTTGCATGCGTTCTAAGGGGCATTTAAAGTAGAAAGTGGATATGCACACCAAGACGCATGCATGCATTTGCATTCGAGCATTTACAGACTTACAGCATAAAAGCCAGTGTACAAGCATTTGCACATCTAAATAGTCCTGCTACTTAGCACCGTATGAGCTAAAGCTTCGCCGCAAAAGTTGAACTAAATGAGTAAATTAGGAAACAGGACTGGCATGTAGAAAGCTATTATATGTATGTTTATGTGGAATCACAACGGAAGAATGATTTGTGTCTCTTTGGATTCCTTACCCGTGCCTTCTGCCACAATTCGTGAGCAGCCTCTGCAAGTTCCTCTCTCTTTTCGCTTGCAATATCATCTCCTGCGCCGAAGAACCAGCAGCAGCAACGTGCGCAGCGTCAGCAACATTCCTTATTATCAGCAGCACTGCAGCAATAATTGTTTACTATCAGCAGCACTGCTGTAATAATTCCTTTACTATCAGCAGCACTGAGAGGAACACTGTGGCTGGACGCCGCTAGAGAAAAAACAACAACCTTGTGATCGCTTTCGCGATACTGCTGCTGCTGTTGCTGCTGCTGCTGCTTCTGTCATACGCTTCTCTCCCGCCAGCAGCTGCAGCAGCACAGCGCCTCTGCAGATGTTATCCACCTCCTCTAAAAGATTAAGTCTGTGATCATTGAGTAGTTCCGCTGCCCTGAACCGCACCACCCCCGCAGCCTAAATTCACAAGAAGCTGCACTTTTCAAAAGTGGCCACGCTTCTAGCGAAAATCAATCCAAAATTAGGCCTCACTTGGCGACATAGTCAGCTGCATCAATGAATTTCTCTCTGTCTTTCACGTTTTCCTGCACGTAGAGCGCGTACTGAACTGCCCGGCCAAAGTTCGGCGGGCTCACCGCCGCTGCCTTCTGCAGGAGTCGTAACCAGCCAGGTAACGAAAGTTTCTTTAAAATATTATTTGTAAAAGGTACTTATCCAGCTGCAATCATGCAGCCACTAGAAACTTCCCTCATAAGATCCACCTGTGTGAAAAAAAAGAAAGAGGGCTGAAGGCTCACTTGGTAGTACTTCAGTGCAGCCTGAGGCTTGCGCAAGTTGAAATCGAGGTATAGAGCGTACTGCTCCAGTGTCTCGGTGTCGCTGAAGTTCTCCACAGCCAGAGAATGAAGAAGCGTTCCCACCTGGCGCGGCGGCAGCAGCAACAGCAGAAGCAGACCTAGCAGGTTTTGGCTTGTAACTACAAGGCAGCATGCGAAATACAACTGCTGATTTGTCTATTCGAGAAATAAACTGATGGCAATGAAATGCAGAATAAGATACTTCCTGAAGGTGGTGGCGCTCCAACATGCGCAGACCTAGACCAGCAATGTTAGCTCCACAGTGAGGATCCGTCCTAAGTGCAATCACAGGCCCAAAAAGCTACACAGTGAACCTTCGCTTCTAATTCCTTTATTAATACTCAAAACCCAAATTAGTCTCCCCCAAAAACGAAAAGAATACCGCTGCAGAGGCGAGCATAGCACCTACAATTTGCAACGTTCTATGAAGGGCTGCCAGCTTGATTTGTCCATTATCTGCAAGAACGGATGCAACACGCAGCAGAAGAACCAACTGCAGGCCATTTTCAAATCAACTTTTGCCCTTGCTAATGCTTACATTAGCCACGCAGGAAAGAGAAACTACAGTTATAGCTTCAGCTGCTGCAGCAAGGGCAGCAGATGGATAGGTAATTCCAGCAATACTCAGCTTTACAGCGGCGGGTTCCCCCCCGTTTAGGGCGTATTGAGAATCCCCTAAGTTACTCCCCTAAGTTACTCCCTTCTTACCTTATTTTTCCAGTCAAATGATTTGTATTCTTTTATTCTGCCTTCAATAGCTGCAGCCTGATGGTCTAGAGAGAGCACATCAAGCCTTTTAAGAACGGAGAAGACCTCATTTGCGTAGACGAGCTTAAAGAAAGGATTATTGTCAAATAAAGTGCGAAAGCAAAAGCGTTGCTCAACTGAAACACCAGCTGGGCACTTGAAATCAAACTCGTCTATTTTGTTCGCCACATCGAAGACAGAAATTGGGGCGTTGGGAGGTGCTGTGAAGTGCACAAGCAGCAATGATACTAAGTTTCCATTATTCACTTGATTAATTATCTTATTCCAACAATGAATGCTCAGAAGGAACATCACTGTTGGTAAATGCTCACAAAGGGCCGTCTCTGGTGGTCCAAATATCTGCACTGCACATTTCCGCGGAATAAACCTGATCTAGAGGTAAAGCAGTATTAAAATTTGTTTTGCAGAGTTTTATAACTCCAGTGTGAGTGTAGTTTGGCCCACGAAACATCCAGACGCAGCAAGGCGTTAACTGCAACTAAGCTAGGGTCACTGCCATCGCGATTTGAGTCACTGGATTGATTTCGCCTATGAGTACCTGCACATCTGAAGCTGCTTTGAACAATATAGTCCGTTCTGTAAAGATCTCGCAGTAGCTGATTGTACAGAGCCATCGGTGGGCATGCGGCCGACCCATAGGCAAACTGCACCTGCAAAAATTGAAACAAATATTGCCATGCGGCGCGTCATTTCGACGCATTTACAGAAACCAAATGAAGATCAACTCTTTATTCACTTTATGATAATGCGCAAACTCGATGGAAATCTAGAAGGTCTAAAGAAGAAACGAAATTAGGCTCAAAACACCACTTCCAAGCATCGTGAAGTTCCACTTGGGATGAACAATGAAGATCAACTGTCCACCCACTTTTAAAAGTGCCTACACTCGACCAAACTGTAGAGGACATAAAGGAAAGCCAAAGTGAGGTTCAAAGCGTCGCCTTCATTAATAACGACCAAAATGAAGATTTACTGTCTAATCATTTTATCGCAATGCCTAAGCTCGATGAAACTCTTGAAGATTTAAAGAAGAAACAAACTGAGGTTCAAAGAGCCTTACTCGACGCCGTATTCCAACGTTTTCATACTGCGGGTGAATGACAGTGCGGAGAAAAGGGATGGCAGCGCGAATAGACGCCGATGTTGTCATGTCGGCCAAAATCCCCGATTCAGGTGGCACGTTCTTTTCCCTGCATGCCAAGGGTTGCAGGTTAAATTATGATGCATGCATGGCAGCTAGATGTATTTCGAAACTGCGAAATAAATAAGAAGGGCATTTCGAATTCCGGTGCAAAAAGATGCGGCCTTACAGCCATGCGAAGAGGCTCTGCTTGCTGGGGCCGTTGGCGTTCTCCAGGGCGGGGAAGGGAGTAAGCATCTCATTCAGAGGCAACTTTATGTAGTATGGCAGGACAGATAGACAAATTAAAATGCAAAATGCTGCAAATTTTAGTAGCCGCTGCACACGTCTTCCAACGGCTCTACTCAGCGCCGCATATAGCCTGTCAGAAGCAAACGCATATTTCTTTCCTTTGTATTTGCAAAAGTGCACTGCTGCACCCGTATTTTGCGCTAAGCTGTCCCCAAAACGCAGTAAAGCTGAAGCTTAGCTGCGCTAGCTGCGGCGCTTCAAGAAATGCAAAAACGCATGCACAAACGCTCTCACACACCCCAGCGCTGATAGCAGTCGTCTGCCACAACTCCCCCAAAACGCCTTTGAAGCACAGAGGGAGGCGAAGACGCAAAGAAGTGGCAGTGCTAAGATGCGCAATCTTGCTATAAGCAGCATCAAGGCTGTGAAGAAGAAAGCCTTCAGGGAAAACAAACACAATGGCAAAACAAAACGGGCGCATGAGGCAGACACTCTCGAAACATAAACGAAACTAAGGCTCATACTGCTGCTGTAGATGAGCGTGATCATACTTGAAGAAACAGGTAGCATAATCCGGGAGAGAGGGCGCCGATCAATTGCTCATCAGCTGCTGATCCATGAGTTGTTGGTCTTTCGGGTTCAGTCAGCTTCTCCGCCTCCACTGGCCTGGCCTGTTCAGAAACAAGAACTTTCGAAACTTTGCACCCTTAAGCGCTAAACTGTAGACATAAAAGTCATAAATGAGTTCGACATTACACAAGATACGTTCACGAACCACTCCGTCTTCCCTCAGTGGACTTACGGGCTTCCTCATCCTAACATCTCCTCCAATCATCGCCATCAGCTTCTCGCGTTCCCTGGAAATTGCGTCTTGTCTACTCTCCTCCTCTCTGTGCCAAAAGTGACAGCAATTCGTACGAAAATTTGTAGTTGGTATTCATCCGCTTCCGAGGGGATGTCTGACTCTGTTTGTGGCGCAGATTGAGGCTTACGGGCTAACGGCATTTTTGCGATTTTCCTTCGCGTCTGGAGAAGGGACCAGTCCTTCGTCAAATAACATAAACAAATCCCAATTTTTGCACGACAAACCGTGCACCAGAAATATTTCCCTGGAAAGAAAGAGGAATGCGGCCACCGCCATCAAGGCCGCCACAACCAGCACGCCTGAGGACCTCATGTACTGCAGCAGCGTCGCATTGAGCGGCAGAAACTCCTGAACACAAAATGACAAGAGAATTCAGCGCACTGTACAACAACTCGTGCCTTATTGGGACTCTGCTGACAGTCAGTGGCCTCAAAAGCAAGCAAGCAAACAGTGTGCGGGCAAAACTGCTTACTGTGTGCCCCAGGATGTAAATGCTGCTGTCGAACGTGTCTTTGGAAAAGCCCAGGTGGTACATCAAAAGGCTGAAAACGTGCGCGTCGTCCTTTTCGAAGCTGAGTGCACAAGGAAATAGCAACTGGTAACATGAGAAGGCACGGCGCTTACACATGGCACAAGTTTGAATTGATAGGGCGACCGTCGGCCGAAATGCGTCTCCTCTAATACGTTTAGTTGCGTGGATGGGCTATGTCGCTATGAAATCTTGATGCAGTAGCTCAGGGTTCGCAGCTAAGCCTTCATATTCACTTGGATAGCTCGTGTCAATAAGCTCACGGCACTAGTGCGCAGCGGATCAAACAACATAGTCCCACCGCAACAACGCCTCTCCAAAAGTCCACAGCGAACAACCACCCTACGAACGGCCTGGGATTTGCCGTATGCCGCGGACACAGCCAAAGACTCACGAATACCGAAAGTGTGACGTGAGGGAAAAACGAAAAGGCCTGCGCGCAATACAATGACAAGAAAGCAGCAGATGGCACAGTCCTACGTCTCCAGTGCTCTTATCCAACACAGGAAATGGACTTTGGGGGTTTCCTTCGAGTTATGCAGCATTTAGCTCGATGCCTTCTTAACATCCCATTCCTCTGGCACATGTGAGCTCACGAGGTATTTTGAAGCAAACATGAAAGTGAAGACAAAGGCAAGAGCGACCATGTAAAACGCAGCTATGCGTCTTATCACGATTGAAACGGGATAGCCAAGAAGGCACATGCCGAATAGGGCCGAAATCTGCAAGCAAAAGAACCATCTTCGAATTATTTTGCAAATTTGGATGATCCTAGGAGCTCTCTCAAAGCAAGGAATTTAAACAGCAGTGAACTTTTACTGCCTCAAGAAGCTGACCTGAGTCGTCAAAATAAAAACGCCAAACTGCCAGGAGAACAACAGGCCAGTCGCAGTCAAAATAGCAGTAATCAAAGGACCAAATATCTGCGGAGACCCACAAAGACCTCAAGCTGGGTCACAAACAGGAATGCTTATGGGGGAAGACAGTTAAAGCGAAAATAGAATGCAAGAGAGCTGCAGGCTTGGCACGGCTGCGCTGAGGCTTCAAAAGTTCTTATTCTTGAGACTTTGTAGTGTGTTTTGTGTCAAGCATGGGACCTGCTAACTACAGCCTACTTTCGATTGATCACGGAAACGCATGTGCCGCTGCAACATTACGTAAATGGCGATGACATTTAGCCAGAGAAAGGGCAGTCCCCAATGTTCCCTCAGAGTCAATGCTGCATGCAAACACAAAAACAACAGCCAAATAGTAAACAAAACCACTTGGCATGTATCACTTAGCAGCAAGTAGCTGTGCCCGTGTTCTACAGCTATACAGTCCAGTTGCTGCAGCAGCGCGAAGCAGGTAGAGCAGTACCGTCAGTTCTCAGAATGAGCCGATGGTAGAAATTGCCCAGAAAGAAACCGAAGCAGCAAATGCCGCACAGCACACTAGACCCTGCGAATGCGGGAATCAGAAGCAAACCAAAGTAACCTTAAGGCTAATAGCGTGTTAGAAAAAAAACAACTAAATTGTTTCGCATTCTTTCCCACAGCCCACCCAAATAGGCAGCCAGCACGCAGAAGCAAGCCACGCCGAACCCTTGGAAGCAGAAACCTGAATCGAACGGGCAAAACAAAGAACGAAGTAAAAGCACTTTTGCAAGCAGCACCGGACGCAAACATATTGGCACCATAAAATGCTTTCACTTATCAGATAAGTGAGAAAAAACTATATATAGTGCCTCGAGATCAGGTTGTTCAAGGACTTTAACGCACTGCATGCGGCGTAAAAGTTGAAAGGCGTTCTCACAAAAAGGGGCAATGCGGATCCCAAGAGCCAGCGGAGGCCGCGGTAGGTGAAGCCGAGCACCAGTTCTGAATATAACCATCCAGTAAATTTACTAAGACAGAAAACTAGGTGTAGCTGTCATGTTATGACTTCAATGAATATGACTTCAATGACGAGAGGTAATAGGCTAAAGCTCCATCTAACTGGACTGTGATTAGGCATTTCGCGAAAATCTAAATGAACTTTGACCAGGAATTTAACAGAAGTATCTGTTCACTGCCTGACCTGGGTAGATGTTGAAGCGCTCGAGTGCGTTTATGACGTCGGGATGTTCAGACCGGTTGTCGTGCCTGCAGAAAGACCATCATAAATGGAAAGTGAAACAAAAGATCGATAATATTACAGACAAAACCGCATACTTCCATACAGAAATCAGAAGTGCATGAAAAACGTTGTGTATCTTACAGCAGCGACTCAAGCGCCTTGAACCAGGAAGGCGCGCGCACAACGTCCAGGTAGAAGGAATAATACAGTGCATTCTGAAAATATGCAGAAGTCGGACAAAATCCATTCACTGAGCGTTATGGAAGCTATTTGAATAGACTACGTGCTCGCAACATGCAGAAATCGCGGGAAAAGTGATGCAAAAACGAACTTCAGAAAAAAGAGTCAACGGCTGTTCTGCTTCATCCATGTCGAAGGTCAGCCGATACCGTCGAAATAGAAAGAGCGTAATGAAAGCCCTAAATATGCGGACACGCAAAACCATCAACAACAATTCGGAGATAGTCAAGAGCTACAGGCCACTATGTTGATGTGGTCTCAATTTGCTTGTGCGCGTGACGTTAGTTGCTGGGGGATGCAAAAGTTTGCTGCTCACCATAGTAATACACCGAGGCAAAAAGCAGCCTTAAATCCTAGCGGATTCGCGTGAAGGGAGGCCAGGCGCTTTCCGGCCGCCATCTGTCTTGAGTCTTTCTGTTGCTTCTTTCCTCGGTAAGTAGCCACGTTGCTTTGCTGAGCTCCATTGGCAAGATCCATCGGCTGGTAAAGCCACTACGGCAAATGCTAGCTAGAAGTTTGAAAACCGTCAGAAAAAGAATGATTTCAACTCATACGACGCAGCTGTCCTTGGGGAACGCTCTGAGTCGGCTGCACTGTCCCGTAAACTGCAGCTACGTTCCCAGTGTATGCGACCCCTTCAAGCGCAGCTCGCCAAGCTAAATATTTGGAGATTAAGTGAGTCTGCCTAAATGAAACAAAGGGATTTGCGCCGTAAAGTCGCTCTTTTCGTGAGCGACGGACAAGGCTTTCAAAGCAACTGTAGCACAGCGCACAGAGAACGACGCAGACGGCCTTGTGTCCTGTTAAGCAGACCCTCAACCCCTCAAGAGATAAGCAAATTCATTAAATATTTTCATTTTCTACGCGCTAGGAGAAAATCACGAGCTTTATTTAGTCCACAGACTCCACAGTGGGGCCCCACGACGCTACTGGCTCCCCGTAGCAGCAGACGTGTATCAGATCTCTATGCCTGTGGCCCTCTTTAAGGCAAAGCACGCCTGCATTTTGGAAGCTCAGGACTCACGAGCTGTATCAAGTTTTCTTTTTTATAATTCTTTAGTCTTAGCTCACTGCTGTCCTGGGACGCGAGACGACTGTGTGCCGCTTACCAAGCAGGGGCCGCACGTCAAGTTCTGGGTTACTTCGTCTTTTACTCGCCACTGAGTTAAGACGGAGTAATTTTTACCTTCTTGTCTCTTTCACTGCCTTTGCAACCCAGGAAAGCGCCACGAAAATGACACCTCCAGCCGGCAACGTCACCATCGGGGAGAAGCATAATTTCTCCTGGCAGCAAACGATGCTGCGGATCAAAGACCCAAAAGTCACTGTACCATTTTATGAGCGCCACTTCGGCATGAAACTGGTGCGCCCATCAGCAGCAGCACGCCAGCACACTCCCGCAAACCCTTATCTTCAATTTAAATGCGACAAAGACAAGAAGAAGCTTCAACGCCAAGGCACAGTTTGTTAGTTTCAAGCTTGGAGTGTAGAGGCACCCAACTTGCCGTGCCAAATCCCATCTGAAGGACGTCTACTACTTGGAATGGGCTGTAGTGCAAGGCCAGTACCCTTTATATGGTCCACCCTGAGTTGATCTGCCATTACTGTTGTTGTTGGTTGTTCCCCTTTTTGTTCAGATCCATTCGTACACGTTTGATGAGGCAGGTTTCTCCCTCTACTTCCTCGAGCGCCCTCGCGATGGAGCAGTGTTGCCGACCCCTGGCACCCCCGAGGCGGAGAAGTATCTGTGGAACATGAAGGTGAGATGTGCACAATTGATTTGAGTCAAATATATTCTTCGAAGCTTGAAAATTTCTGTTTTTTGCATGTTTCTTTCGCCTCAGGGGGTCTGTTTAGAGCTCACGCACAATCACGGCACTGAGAAAGACCCCAACTTCAAAGTGAACAACGGAAACGAAGAGCCCCATCGCGGGTTCGGGCACATCGCTTTCAACTGCCCGGATGTAGTTGCGGTGTCGCAGCAATTGGAAGAAGACGGGTAATCGCAGAGAGAGAAAATGTCTTGCCACCCGCATCTGCCCCCATCCGTCTTCACCTGTGTGCCAGCGTTTCTTTATTTTGCTTCATTTATTGCTATGCAGCTTTTTCTGTGGTTTTGCTCAGCGTAAGCTTTCAAAAGAGGCCTCATGAAGGCCGAATGAAGACAATTGCTTTCGCCAAGGATCCCAACGGGTATTGGATAGAGCTTTGCAACCGGCATCCCGAAGCTCACATTCCTGAGAAGTTCAATTTGTCACAAACAATGATTCGAGTCAAGGACCCGAAACAGTCCCTGGCTTTCTATCGTGATCTTCTGGGCATGAAGCTCATTGCAAAGAAAGACAAAGGCGATTTCACCGTTTACTTTCTTGCATACCTAGAGCCAGGCGTTTCGCCCCCAGAAAATATTGAGGTAAAGTGGCCTATCGAAGCTATTATTTAGGCCTGACTAGCCGCCCTAGTTAGCGCGGGTCAGGCAACAGCCAAATAGCCTTTCAAACAAGTTACCAAACAAGTTATGGAAACTCCACAATGTGCACGGGAACAGGCCAGATTAGAGATTTTCCTGCGTATCCGCGTTTGTTTTCCTGGTGTTTTTCTGGCATTTGAACAGGGACAAGAGGCTGATGAGTTCATCAAGAAGCAGTGGTTCCCTTTCCTGGAGTTGACGCACAACCACGGAACAGAGACGGACGCGAGCTTCAAATACAGCAACGGCAACGACCCTCCTCAGGGCTATGGCCACATTGGAATGCTTTGCGACAACTTGGAAGAAGCCTGCGCCGAGCTTGAGGCTGCTGGAGTGAAGTTTAGGAAGAGGCCACAAGTAAGAGCATGTCACCGGGAAAATTAATTGAAGCGAAGGGAAAAGAACAGTTGCAGCACTCGCACGAGGAACGTCGCCCGGCAAATGAGTCTTGCTAGTTTTATTGGAATGGGCGTGTGATTTGCACTTGCAGTGGGCCAATGTAGGCAGATTTAGCAGTAGAGATTCCACTTTTTTACGTTCTCTTCGATTTGCTTTGCCTGATGTGTCAATAGGATGGAAAGATGAGGGGCATTGCATTCGTGCTGGATCCGGATGGGTACAGCGTGGAGCTCATCAAGAGGGGCGTGACATTTTAATATTTTTGATCATCCTTTTCGATTTAGCACCTTATGCTTATAATCCAGCGCCCATTAGCCGGCCTGCACCAATACATTTTTGTGGGCGTTATGGTTTGCTTTTTTGCCAGAGGTTTTTCATCCCAAGTAGCAGACGCTACACCAAACTTCATGCATTTAACATATGCATGCAAAGAAACCAGGCTTGATCTTGCATAGTGACAAACATGACTCCATCAGGCACTGCAAAGTCCACTTCTTTGAAGCACAAGGCTTTCACGAATTCCAGTTCAGTATGACCGTGAGTAATGTGTCGAGTGTCGCTGACCCTGTAGCAGAGTAGACACTGAAGTTCTTTAGGGGTTTACTTTGCCTTTTAGACATCTCCTTGTGCATGACAATTTCATAAGTGTCGCTGACACATCTAACGACGACCGGAGGCATAGGAATAATAGGAAAATGAAACAGCCAGCTTGCTGCTATTTTCCATAGACGTTTTATATGCTTGGAGCGGGCTGCTTGATGTATAATGCTGCGAACAAGTTGAGGACAGCAATGCGAAGCATTAAGGCATTAGCACGGGAGAAGCAAAGGAGTCATCCCGCACTAAAAAGCCGCTGTCGATCTCTATTCGTCTTTTTTTTGGTCGCCTTGACGTATGACCCCTGTAGTTGCAACTGTTCCCGAGCCTATGTGTTGCAATAGAGCGCCGCTATTGGGGTTGATGCTTGCAAAAGACTGGACAGACGCCAATTGCCGTGGATGTAGGTTGTTCTTGGAGTCCGTGGAGTTTATTGGGGAGTGAACACCGCAAGATGTCTCAAAATTGTACTACACAGCAACGAAATCACAACCATGCTGAAGGGAGATTTCACGTGATGAGAAATGCCTCGCTTTAGGGTTCACTAATGAGCGCTCCAGCTTTTTTTAAGGCAGTATTTTTGTTGCTTCGATTTCTTTTTAAGGAGTATCTTGACCTCTGCAGTGCCCCAATTCGTGCTAGTAGCTAGGAGTCGGACATTCTTTAGCTTCGGCAGAGGAAGGCTGGCAGGCTGAAACGTAGAGTCACAGGAAGTTGCTGCAGCTAGGGTCATCTCTGGCTAGCAAGGCAGTGCAGCTTTCCTGACTTCTGCCGCGCTGGACAAGCAATTCTCCGGTCTACTGCTAGGCAGTACCAGAGGAAGTCCAGTATTCATTTCAAAGCCAAGTTAAGGTCTTAAGGCCTAAGTATCTAAGTATGGCTTTGGAATGAATGCTGGACTGCAGTAGAAGGGTCTTACCTCTCTAGCAATGCGTGATAATATCCGGACACCCTTGGAAGTTTAGGGGCGAGCCAATGCTCGCGTTATGAATTTTATATTCCAGCAGGATGAAAGCAAAAAACACCAGCCATAACACAAGCGACAACTAAAGCAAAACAGCAACAAGGACCTTTCAGTTCTTTACAAGTTCGGGTCGGAAAATTAACTGTGGGTTGAGCGCAGCGAAAGTCATGCTTGTGAAATCAGTTGTGTCAGCGAGCATGGATTGAGCAACTTCTTCCTTTGTCGTTTCGCCGCAGCATTCGTGATGAGCCTCGCTTCGTGGTGTTTTATATGTAGAAAAAGGTAATGCATGCATCTACTCCATGCTCTAAGTTGAAGATCCTGGTGCGGAAACAGGGCTGCACTTTTGGCAGTTGGTCTTGTGCACAGTTGACGTACCCAGCAAGTGGAAGCCAACTGCGAGGCCGCCGTAGTAGCCTCTGTGAGCTAAACAACAAAGTGATTAGACTGTTGGTCATCGTCTCCTTGAGAAGAAAGAAAAGAACATACCGGCGTATTCCTTTTCAGCTGGTCTCATCTCGCCCTGATGGCAGTAGTGGCAACAGCCTAGCAGGTAAGTCTCAAAGCAAGCAGCATGAGACTTACCTTCCTTTCTGAAACCGCAGTAGCGAGGGCTTCAACAATAGAAGGGGCGGCGGGGGCCACCCTCTTGTGTTCAATTCCAACAATACGCGAAAAGGGCAGAATTTTTCTGGGGTGGCGGGGCCAGACCTCCCCGGTGTCTGAGGCGCAGCAACTGGTGGAAAGTTGGGTTTTTTACATAAAGTTGCAATACCGTGGTGCACGGGTCCGTGCTTTCCAAGTTCCCTAAAGAGCGCTGCATGCACACGCACAAGTTTGTGTAATCACATTGAACTTGCCTGCGATCTGTCACGGGGGTAGGGGGCCTTCAAGTGATATGATGAAAGGCACAAGATCCCAGGAGTAGCGCGTCAGCTTACCGTGGTCCAAACACAGTCCCTGGAGAAGCGGAATAGAATCGCGTGAATGCAAACACTTAAGTTGAAGCTTACATGGCATTCGTTTGGCAGTTATTGCAGTGTATGC